TTCTCTTGTTCCTTCAAATATAAGGAAAAACCCACCTAAACGGTAAATGTGATCCACATTCTTAAACATGGTATTAACACTGAATTGTGCTGTTTTGCGTCTTGTTATAGTGGAAGTAGAAGATATTTTAAATGTTTCATGGTAAATCTGATTTAAATTACTAATTTATGGTATTGTTTTACAAACAGCACTTGAATCTGTGTTTAGATTGCTGAGCTTATGTCACTTTGTAAATTGTAGTCTTTACAAAAAAGCACAATTGCTCCCAAATGCAGAAGCTTTTTCTTGCCGACCTACCTAGTGCATGATTAAGTCTTAAATGGCGTTGTGTCAGTGATAAAATATTTTCTAATGAAATTTCACATTTTTTCTCCTTACAACTCTTTAAATAGTCCACCAAGGAAGCACATTGTGGATACCTATACAGAGTTTTACCACACACCCACTCATAGTGATGCCAGCAAAAAACGATTGATTGAAGACACTGAAGACTGGCACCCAAGGACAGGAACAACCCAGTCACGTTCTTTTCGGATCCTTGCCCAAATCACCGGCACCGAACACAGTGAGTAATTGTTTGGTGATGCAGCATTAGATAAGGATTAGTAGCTGTAGTGGACTTGAAGCCTCTGGCCTGGTAGAACTTGTTATAAGGTGTTGAAAGAATAATTGATAAATATTTAATCCAGTTTCTTCCCCAGATGATAAAGTTAGCAGTAAGTTAACCTGTTTTTTAATGTGAACCATCTACATAGTGAGAGATAGAGAGAACTATGGGCAGGAGTAATGCCTGAAATTTTTTTTTGACCTGACTAAATTCTAAGCTGACAGGGTCCCTTTTAAACAACTACTATATTCGCCTCAAATATCAACTTGTCAGAAAAATCTCCATGCCCTCCCCACCCTCTGCTTTTCCTCCACCACCACCAAATGAGGAAATTTCTGCTCAAACTCATGCTGGTTTGAGAGGGCCGGAGTGGGGCAGTATTTCATCATACAGCACAAATGAGTTTAATTGTTGATACTTATAACCCTATAGGGTTAGAAGTCATTGTTTCTTATTGTTGAAAACAGAAGCTTCTGGCAGAACAGGACAATTTGTTCCTGCTTTGGAAAAGCTGAATAAAATAGCAAATCTTAAAATCACAATGTAATGGGAAATGGTAGGGAAATTGTAATTTAGATCATTCTGAAATGATTAGTGGACTTTATTATCTGCCAGTGGTTTCTTTATGCTTGGATTGATGTTACCAAGGACCAGTTTTTTAAGGATATTTAGATGTTTAAAAATGATAGTTACGGATTTCTTGAAATATGTAAGTGTCTACCTTTCATTGAAATCAAAAGGGAGTAAAGCACTTTTAGAAATCCACTAGGCATCTGTGTAGCATTTGTAAAGGTATTCCTGTGCCTAAAAAGTCAGGCCCTGTGGTTTTACAGCTTGAGGTAAATGAAAAAGTAGAAGTAATAATTTTTAAAAAATATATAGATTTTCTGTGGCATGTACAAAATACATTATAATGTGATGTGTTTGAGGAATATCAGCCCAACTCATTTCAAAGTAATGGTTTAGATATTTAAAAATTCTTATTTCATTTCAGTGAAAGAACCAGAAACTGAGTCTACAAAGAAAACAAAGTAAGTTGATTTGTTGTTGAACTGAGATCTGTGTTTTGAGTATTCAGTATTTTGCATGGCTTATTTTTAACTTGATACTGCAATATTGCAGTTTGGTGTATTGGTGTGAAGTTCTAGAAACTTTTACATGTTGTTCCTTTTTAATATTGTGTGTCATAAATGTATTAGTAAATGAATCAGCATGTAAAAAATAAGATGTCTGTGTGCTGTGATTTGGCTTTTATTTAGGAGCTTAATAAGAGACTGTGCAAATTAAGGTTTATACAGGAATTGTAGCTTTTCAGTGCATATAACAGTTGGCGCTCTGCTGATAATATGTAATGTTTTCTCTTGAATCTAGACATGCATTTGAGGTTTTTAATAGGAGGTCCATTTAACTTTCTAAGGTTTGAACAGGTAGCTGCTGTCTTGTTGGTCTTGATGAATTATGCTATTCAAAGTGGAGACTAAAGCCCCAGTCCAGTACCTGATGCATTTAGTGTGTAGGGGTAGAGGGAGGAATGTCTTTCTATTGATTTTATTTGGCATTGGATCAGGCCTGAAAAGACAGATGAAAAAATATATAGGCCTGTAAGTGAGTGCATGGAAATGGCATGTTTTCAGTTAGTGTGAATTGAATTTCTTTCCTTTCTTACATTTCTTCTATCACTTCTTTCCACAGGGAAAAGATTCCCATCCATATTTTTAGCCCAAAATATACAAAATTACGTGACTGGCACCATGACGTCTCAGCACGTGTCCTTAATGTCCAGTGATTTATACAAGTTGCAAAAAAAACAAAACACAAACCTTTTCTTCCTTTTCTCATTTCCAAATGCTTTGCGCAAAACAAATATTATATTAGCTTTCTTATGAGAGTAACTTTAACTTTAGTTTTTTCCACACTTTTCTGACAATTTCCTACTGATGTATAAAGAATCAGATTAATGTGTTTTTGTGCCTGATCAGTAGTTTACATATCTGCATAATCAACACAAAGTGATTTGAGTGATAATCTAAGTGCTTAAAAAAGTTAGCTATTGAGGTTCTTTCTTGACAAGGAGGATTCACTTTTGTTGCTGAGTTTGAGTTCTCGAAGGTTGTTAGAAACATGAGCAAAGGAGCAACATACAGTGATGCTTGAAAAGAGTCCTATAAACATTGAAGCTATTGAATTTTCCGAGATAATTTACTTTATAATATTTTTGTTGAACTTCTACTGAATTTAGAGTGGGCTGAACATGTTTTCAGATGGCAGAGGGAGAAGTCAAATGGCTTCCCCACCAAAATGCATTTTGTTGGTATTGCAAATCTTAGCACACTACAAGTACTGAGCCTGTTAAACAGGTGTCCTGTCCACACCATGGAAAGATTATTTTTAAAAAAGTGAAATGTTACTATGTACATGTAAGTGCTTGAGCATGCAACGTGAAATGAGAATAAGATGAAGTCTATTATTTATTGTAGGATGAAACTCTTAAGGTAGGTCTACACTAGCCACCCTAGTTCGAACTAGGGTGGCTAAAGTAGTCAATGCGAACTTGCAAATTAAGCCCGGGATTAAAATATCCCGGGCTTTATTTGCATGTTCCCGGGCGCCGCAATGAGGAGTAATGGTAGCCCAAATTAGGGGCTTTAGTTCGAACTACCTAGCCTGTGCCGCGGGCAGGGAGTCCGAACTACCGGGCATTTAAAAATGGCGGCGCCCGGGAACATGCAAATAAAGCCTGGGATATTTTAATCCCGGGCTTCATTTGCAAGTTCGAATGACTACATTAGCCACCCTAGTTCGAACTAGGGTGGCTAGTGTAGACATACCCTTAAGGATTATTGTGTTATATAAAAGCTTTGGTACCCTGTGATTGTAATGCTTATTATCCTGTAATATAATGTATTATAGTAGAGACACATTAACTTAAAACTTTATGAAGTTTGAAGAGTATTTTAATAAAAGCTGCTTTTGACTTAGTTTTGTCTGCTTTTTCTTTGAGGCCTTTTGACTCTACACATAGATCTCTCATACAGAAGTGCTATATCTCCAGTATTACAATCTTGCTGAAGTAAGATAAGAGACAATAAAAACAGAGCTGTGCAAGAGTCACTAACATTTGTACAATGAAGGCATGGGTACCCCTTCCCCCATCTGCCTTTAAAAAGCTTATATTACATCCTTTTGATTCCTTCCGGGATCTGCAGCAAGCTATAAAGTGGCTGATCTTTTTTGCTGTTACAAACTGAAGTATATGACACGAACTTGAATTCCTTCATTTAAATAAACTAATTGTCAGATTGTAACACCTATCGAAATACAAAAATCCAAATCTTAAAGGTTAATCATGGAGCAACATGAATTACTTTTAACTTGCATAGCACTTTGCATAAATTTTGTGTATATCAAACAGGTGGTTTAAATTGAAATAGAGCCCTTCCTTTTAACCAATTATTGCAGTGAGGTCACGTGCTAGAAACATAATATTCTGAAGTTTGCGTTTCCTCTTCAAAAGCATTACGTTGCCATATAAAAGCTCCTACAACTCAGCTCACTGTGTTTGTCATCTTATCTTTAGAGAGAGTCAAACAGAAAATGGAGACCTCAGGTAATGGCTAACTTGTCTTAACACTAACCGTCACTTGCATGTAAACGTAACCATATGCAATATAAAGAACTATTTCAAAATACAAATAAAGCTACAGAAGAATTCTCATCCAGAAGATGGTAGAATAAAAATGGTTATGTCTAATCATGGTTTGATTTGTTTTACATTAAAACCACATAATAACCTTTAAGGAAAATAATTCATTACAACAGTTCAGCTGCAGACAAAAATCTGTTAAATGGAAATGAACTATACTGGCAGTTCTGTCAAATTATATTTTATCTTTTGTTTAAAATACCTCAGTTTGTGTGTCACATTTTTACTACAACTAAGCACATTATTCATTGCACATGGAGCACATTGTAATGATTAGTTTGAACTGGGACATGTATGTTCAGACATAGGAATTTTAAGCACTGTATTAATGTTTTGGAGGTTTAAATCACTTTTTATGCTTGGGAGGGAGGGAAAGTTATTACAGATTTGTACGCAGCACAGTAAAAAATAAGTGTGATAAGAGGACTACTTTCAGGTACTTGTGAATGCATTCTTTGAGTGAAGATACGGTTTGACCTTCAATGTGTGTTTTTAAATGTTCATAGAAAGTGACAGTAGTTTCCTGTTAATATTTAATATTCCATTTTATTTATCTTGTTAGTATTTAGCTTTTAATAGAGCAAGTTGTAAGAACTGGAAAAGATGGCATTGCAATAATTTAAAACATAGACTTGTTTAGCAGGGGTGAAAATAAATATACAAACCCTATGAGTTTAAAAAATATCCTCATGGTATGCTCAATGATAAGTAATACCCAGATTCAAGAAGAATTTCCTAACGCCTAAAAATTTCCCAGAAACCTTGATTTACAAATTACGGGCCACCTGGAAATATATTATGATATGCCACTGTGTAAATATTTGGATGACACTTTATTAAAGCAATAGCTATTTGAGGGAAAAAATGTATTCAAGGCTGTTAAACAAATTTGTAGATAAGCAAAAATGCTGCATATTTTTTCATAATTAGAACCATATGTTTGGCCCTCTAGTGACTGTCCTTATATTAGTAGTTTAAAGTGTCCTCTCTCTCTTAAAAATATGGTTGGGAGGAGAGAGAATACTATTTTTACCTTATTTGGCTTAAAAAATGTAAAAGGGTTGAATAGTGTATTTCAACACACAGTTTTTCAGACTTCCTATATTAAATTACAAGTATGCAAACTAGCAACCAATCTCTTAATAAGATTTCTAATATTTTTCCTAAAACTATCTGTTGTTTTCCTTTCTGCCTCCATTTAGTCTGTTCCATCTTCACTAGCCAGCAAAGTCTCACTCCTGATGAGACTACATCTCAGATGAGGTTTAACCTGGGGCCATAAGACAGTGGGGCTTGACTTCCCCCCCCCCCCCCCCCCACAAA